TGTAGCAACAGCAACAGCAAAACTAGCGACCATCGCTAGTTTTTTTGGTATAAATGGACTTATGGCTACAGTGCCACTAGAGGATCGAAAAACAGTTAATTCTGAATGGTGCATGACCATTTGTTTGACAGAAGAAAGAATTCTTGAGTTATTCTGCGGCAAAGCACTTGTGACTTTTGAGTTGCAGGTGTAAATGGGCGACGGTAGTTGCTTACCATCAGGTGACCCGTCGGCTCGTTTGCCCACTTATACAGTTATAAAAAAAAACATGACAATGCTGGCTGCCACACATCGGCCAAAACAAATCAGTACTTGGAAGATCAAAATATCGAATTAACGGGTCATCCACCGTACAGCCCTGACTTGGCCCCCAACGATTTTTATTTATTCCTTACCGTGAAGAATAAATTACGTGGTCAACGTTTTTCCGGGCGTGAAGAGGCTGTTGATGCGTTCAAAATGCACGTTTTGAAGGTACCACAATCAGAATAGAAAAAGTGCTACAAAAATTGGTTCCAAGGTATGCAAAAGTGCATCGATCATCACGACGAATATTTTGAAAAGCTATAATACTATAATAAATGCTATATGTTTGTTTCACTTTGTTATTCCAGGTACATAAATGGCAGCCCTCGTCGTATAAACAATGCGTACGCATATTAAATTATCTTTGATACCCCTAATTTAAAAGTAAAAATCTATAATTAATATAATATAAATAAAATAATCTACTTGAGGCAAAAAGTAATCAAAAATACTCTTCGTTTTACACATTAATATTGTTTAAACTCAATTTATTGAAACAAGAGTGACAGAACGTATTCCACCCGCATTTAAATTACTTCTATTGTGATTTATGCATATTGATAAGCTGATCTTGTTTTAATGAAATTGAATTGTCTTGTTCTGAGTAATAATAATCTCTATTACTTGAATAATTGACACTCCACCACTGCATAATATTCAAGAAACTTTTCTTCTCACATTTGTTATTTCGGATTTTCGGTATTTTCCGATCGATACAACCTACGGGTACGCTAGGAGTACGTTCTTTCCTTGAAGGTTTGACCTTCAAGAAAAAAGCGTACTCCTTCCTAAGGAGTACGCTCTTTTCAGTAGTTCCTGAAATTAGCGTGCTCGTCATATCAAGAAACAAAAATCCTTCTCAACTCAGTTTTTTATTTCAGTTATGGGAAGGTGTTATACCTGTGGACATTTGCCGGATTTTGAATGAAAATATGGTTTAATAATTTAATTTTTATTTATTAGCCGTAAAGTATTACAAATGTTGTTCCAGGATTAGTTAACACTTAAAAATTGCCAGTCTTTAGTTTTGTACGAATTATGTTGATTAAAATAAACCAGTTTTTTTTAAATCACTAAATTTGTCCACAGGTACATCTTATGATTGTACCTCTGGACAGAAATACTTGTACCTATGGACGGCAATGTACCTATGGACAGATCACTTATCCTTACATAATAATCCTATAAAAATCAGCAAAAATAAATAGAATATCTTTATAAATCAACTTTAACATTAAAGAATCAATTATTCTTTTTGGTTTTGGCATCTAAATAATTTTGATATAGTTCTAAGGCAGAATCATCAGAGGCATCTGAAACACCATCATCTAAAATATAACACTTTTGATATAAGAAGTCTGACTCATCATCTGATTCAAAATTATCTAAATGTGATCTTGATACACATTTCTGGTGATATTTCAAATCGCATTGAGAGCAATTGAGCAGTTTGTAAACATTTTCATGTCTTTTACATCCCATACACATGGCTTAGGGTAACTGGTCATCTTGAAGAATTGTGACCCTTTTTTTGCAGATTGAATTTTTATTTTTATCTAAATATTCTGCAAGCTGTTTTTCTCCTTCCTCATCAAATACTTTCTTCACGTCATTTCTCAAAATAACTACCCTGTTCTCGCTCAGATCATTCTCCTTATTCATGTGAAGGTATTTAAATATCGTAGATTTTGGTATTTTATATTTTTCTGCAACTTTTCGCAATGAACATCCACTAATTGCCTCTTTAATTGCCTCAGATAACGTCTCTGAACACAACCTACGGCGCGTTTTTCCGTCGAGACACTGAAAAATGAAAAAAAAATTGTACCTGTGGACAGTCCATAGGTACATACACTTCGATGTCCACAGGTACAAATCAGACAATACAACCTAAAAATCTATTACCGGCATGATAGGTACTAGTTTACACCGTTATACCGATGTAAATGGATTGTTAACTACATGTACTACAGTATGACTAAAAATAATCATCTATATTCTGCATATGTTCACAAAAAAATAGGACGAAAAAGAGACAAATACTTACTTTTTTGAGCGAAAACCCTTAACGGTCTGTCACCGGTCACACAACAAAAGATACAAAATGGCAGCAAGTCAACGTTGCCACACATCAAAAATACTTTACGGATGCGTTCAATTCGTTAAATTTCTGTGTTTATTTTTTGAAATATCAATGATGTCCACAGGTAAAACCGTTCATAGGTACAACACCTTCCCCTATAATATCTAATCAAACCCACTTTTCTTATGAGTATGAAAGAATTATAGTTATTTTTACATTACAATATTTGTAATAATTAAATAGTTTATTGCTTATAGTATGCGTCAAGTTAAAAGCCAAGCCTTAAAGTACATGCTTAATGCTCAAATTATAAAGTGAAATAATGGGTCTCAAATTGCCTGCCATGCACTTCTACAAAAGGCACGCTACATTTTAAGAAGAGGTCTTGTTTCTAACTCTTTCCCTCAAAAGAACTAGTCGTTCTCAAACTACAGCAAGTAATGAACTAGCATTTTATATCTAAATAGCTGTCCCGCGCAAGTTCATCTGCAGGAATAAATTTTCACCGTTTTAGCACCATTTCTCATTGATTTCCTCCTATTGGTCGTAGCGTAATGTTAAATAGCCCATAGCTTGCCTTAATCTATCTAACACTAAAATATTTTTCAATTTAAATAAGTACTTAGTTCCAGAGATTAGCGCGTTCAAGCAAACAAACTCTTTTGCTTTACAATATTAGTATAGATATTATATTTCGCTGCCCAAATTCGTAACTATGAGACACTTACATTCCCTTCGATATCCTATACATTAATAATTATAATACATTAAAATTTCTAAGTTAATTAGGTCGTCCCTGTGATGACGGTTTACGAATACGGAGTGACACCACCATTATTGATCCCGTGGGTGTTTTAAGAGTTGACTAAGGAAGCAAACTACGCAGGACGACAGCACTGCAAAGAGAAGGAAAACTTAAAATAAACCCTATACCAACCAGTCTGGCCTGCGTGGTATAGCACTCTAAAACCTACGTCCTACGGAGAAGCCTATGTTCAGCAGTGGACTGTTAAAGGCTGTTGATGATGATGATTATTGATGAAGGTAATTAGGAGACGTCACTCACTTAGCTACCAATTAGAAAACACGAGTTTCTGTATTTGACTAAATGTATTTTTAATCAGCAAACGTTAATTGAGTTGGTAACTTATTTGAATTTTCATTATTGACTACAATGGTTTTACACTTCAAATTATTAATTTGTATTTGTAATGATTAAATTGACTGGTCTGTTGGCCTAGTGGTTAGTGACCCTGACTGCTAAGTCGCAGGTTCGATTCCCACCGGGACAATAATTGTGTGATTAGCATGATCATTTTTTCCGTGTATGGGTGTCGTATGTATTTAGAAACATATACATAGTACAGGCTCTGACTATTTTGGTACCAGATGGCCACCTCTAAAGATTGACACTTCTAAAAATCCGTGGACATATACCTGTATATCTGCAATTTTTTGATTGGATAATTCAGCAATGTATAGTAATAAATTACAATTGTCAACTTTTAATAACAATTGTACGTTTTCTTTAATGTCTCACGTAAGCATATTCATGCCGTATAAATCTTTATTGCATATATGTGAAACAAAACCGAGCTGTTATAGGCATTATTATTGTCCAAAGCTTAAACTATGCAATAGCTTAAAAAAATACCTAAAAGATTTTTGTTGTTACCTGAAAGCAACTGCACGTACCAGTATCTAAAATTTTATTAAATCCCTCGTCTAAAATACTTATATAGTCGACAGGTTTCCTTTTATTAATTTATTGATTTATATTAATTCTTCTTTTCTACAGTTCAACTCTGTCTTATTCCTAATACAACAAAAGTAATTTCTTAGATGCATTGTTGTTGTAAATATAAGACCAAGACCTCAAAACCGCAGAGAGTTACAGACATTATTATACTTGATGTTTGATGTTTCGTTACGTTTGTGTGTCCATATATAAGCGAAGGTCAAGTAATGAACATTTGTCAACACTGTGTCGATACCCTTGTCCATTGGTAAATCGACACCAAGTCCATTGACAGATGAAATATCACTACATTTCCAGCGATTTATATTCAGCCGTTGACTTATACTTACTTTCGTTGTAAAGAACTAAAGACTGGCCTGTTGGTCTAGTGGTTAGTAAACGTGACTGCCGAGCCAGAGGTCGTGGGTTCGATTCACTACCAGGACAAATAATTGTGTGATAAGCACGATCATTTGTTCCGTGTCTAGGTGTACCTTAACAATAATATGTATTTAGGCATATAAGGGTACTAGCTTTGAAACGCGGCTCCACCCGCGTATATGTCGGTTTTCTAGGCAAAAATAGACTATATTAATCGCTGTTAACATAGTTTTCTACTGGTGAAAGAATATTTTAAAATCGGTTTAGTGGTTTAGGCGTAAAAGCGTAACAAACAAACTCACTTTCACATTTTCAATTTAAGTATAAATGTTTACTACCAGTCTGGTTGCCTAACCTTGTGCTCTGCCTAGTTTGGGATCAGACGGTCATGTGTGAGATGTGTAAGATTTTAAAGTCAGATATTATTATCATTACAAGACCAATAAAACCATTAAAAGTGCTCTTTTATTTTTATTTTTTTTACATGATCAACTAAAGGAATGGTACAATACTTGCTAGTGAATCAGCATAATAATCAGGTCTAATTTTATGGGCTAGCATTTCCTCTTTAGATATACTACTGAGAACCATCAACGTCTTAAATCCAGCTGCCTTTCCTAAGCCTACGTCTTGATCAATTCTGAAAAAGAAAGAATAAAATAATAGATAATAGTAAAAAAACGGAGTAACGGTCTTGTGGACACAAGTTCATGCACAGTAACTGAAGTAAAAAAAAGATTCTGCCCAATGGGTTAGTCTAAATCGAGAAGAGCGAAGGGGCAGACTCTATTTTGAAACTTTGCCTTCATCGGCCTGGACGTATTTCTAAGCCTGGTATCTCAACTGCTCAATGATTAAGTATTAATTATTAATTTAAACCTAATTATGGCGGCTACCACAACGGTGGAACGAAGAAGCATACTACAGCGCCATCTAACGAAGACACACTGAACTACGTAGTAACTGCTAATGCTGAAACGCGATATGAATAATTCTCACGCCGATTAGCATATACACGAGTTCCCAACGTCAATCGTTAGGCCGCGGCCTGCCAGGCATGATCAATTCGCCTGGTCGGAGGCTGCTACCTATGTGTTGGAGAGACATGACACCAGTTCCTTCACAGTGGTGACCCCGTCGTGTATGTGAATAGCGGCACCCTTATTATTAATCACAAAATAATGCATTTAACTTTATTGAAATCGGGATATCTTAAACTATTAGAAAATTAAATTCTTATAAAATGTTTTTTTATAAGTAGTTTTAGGATATCTTTAGATGTGCCATTAAATAACATTGGTAAGAAGGTTCGGAGACATCCTATTCAAAACACGACTTTGATAAAGTTTCGTAAAATCTAGTACAACTAGTGTTTGTCGTCGCATTAACAATATTAATCTATCAAAGTCAAAGTTCAGGATTGTTAGTTAATGAACATGTTCGATCTAAATAAACAATTAAGATAAGATAATGTTTTTAAGAATTTATTTTTAACTTGTTCCAATGAAATTAGTACTAATTTAAAAATATAGTTCTGTCCTACATTTATTTATATTATTATTTCGCCCAGTTAATAATATGCTTCTCTTATGTCACTTCGACTTCGTGAACTCTTCGTTGTTTGTTCAAGCAGTACTACTCTGGAATGCGCTCCCGCTCGAAATCAGGATGTTCAAAAACCGTTTTATATTCCAAAATTAGGTACATGATCTCTTTCATAATGAAATGTAGAACTATTTAATCCATAGCGCATCTTACATTCCGGAGTACATCCATAGTGTACGAATACAATATTTATATTTATTTATTTATATGTGTGTATATATGTATATTTGTGATGTTTTGTGTTGTATGTGTGTATATTTGTATGTATAGGTTAATATAGGTAGTATATATTTTAATTGATTACAAAATCTGTAACCTCTGTTTGCATCTACCTTGAAGAAGGTGGTATTAGGCCCGTATGTAGAAAAGTGCATAAAGTTTAAATAAATTATATATTTATTATTAAAATTTGACTTAGCTGGTCTAATAGTTAGTGTTACCGACTGCGAAGGCGGTGATCGTGGGTTTGACTTCCACGATGACCGTGACGAGCATGATCGAAATATGTATGTATTTAGAAAGCCTGCTTATAACAAGTTTTGCCTAGTTTGGGTTTAGATGGTTGTGTATGAGATCTGTGCAGTTAAATAATACTTACAAATCGCCAATAAACAGAACCCTACTGGCATCAGTGACACCTTCTTTTCTCATTGCTGATTCTGCGTATAATTTGCCAGGCTTACCCAATATTATGGGATCTCGATGAGATTCTGCAGCTATAATTTCGGTGAATATACCACAATCTATAATAAAAATAATTACAGTGAATTGACTATAGGGAAGCACTTTTTAAGAACAGACTTAAACAATTCATTTTATTCTCAAAGACTTCAATTTTCGCAATGCAATAGACTCGTCAACTCGGTAGTTTATTTTTACCGTCACACATATTTATAGATTTTCTATGAATAATTTTAAAGTCCAAAATTTTTCACCGGCTAAAGATTTTTTTAGCTTTTGTAAAACATTTTATGACAGTTGCGAGATCGAGATTTAACCGGAACTGAATTGTGACCGAACTTTTATTAAAAGAATTGTCCTTCACGACATCACAAGTAATATACTAATTACCTAAAGCGGAACATCCTTGCTTATGATAAACATATCGGTCTGTGGCTCCGCCTAAAAATAAAACATCAGGTTTCTTCAAGTACGTAACAGCTCTTTGTATCTTCGCTAGATTTGCATTTAAATCGTTATCAACGACAACTGCACCGATTTCTGGATCGTCTTGTAAATATTCGATGTGGTCTTCAAAGTTCTCATAACCTACATCTGGCTAAAATAAATAAATTCTAAAGAATTACAACATACGCGATAACTAATCCCTATAAGGTATTCAAAATTATTTAACGCCTCAAATTAGAGTAAATTCTTTATGCAATGTTTTAAGCTAAAATGTTATACTATCATTAGGGGCTGTAAGGATTTATTTTAATATATTATTCTTCTTCCTTCATCATCATCAGCCTATTACCGTCCACTGCTGATCGAAGGATCCTCCCCCAAGGAGCACCAACCATCCATGTCTTGGGCAATCCGCATCCATCCGTTGCCAGCCATTTTCCTCAAGTTGTCGGTTTTATAAAAATGTTATTATTAAATTCTGTTCTAACTACTTCTTACTCACAGTCCCATCGATAATATATCAATTCAAATAAGTTGCATAAAAAGCTGGTACTGTAGGCTGCTGATTTAAAACTTTTCAACTAGACTATTTAGCGAATTTAGTAGTAGAACTTGTCAGATATGAAGGTAAATAGCATTCGTTTTAACTCTTCCTAATCTTCAACTTGCCTAAATCCGGGATATCATAATGTTGTAAAAAAATATATAATTTTATTTCTTAACTTACCCCTTTTTTACATGAATAGCCATAAGATTCTAATACTTTAATAGTTTGTTCACAGGATACTGCATATATTTTCTTTTTCTTATTGAAATTCGCCGTTTTCAAATACTCGGCTATGGCTACGGACGGAGTGATTAAGTGTTGCTGAAACAGAAGAAATGAAGTTAAAGAAAAGAGCGTAATCCTTCCTAAAAGGTTGGCAACGCGTTTTTGACTCCTGAGTTGCAGACGTTCATGGGCAGCGATGGTCACTTTCCATCAGGTGACCCGTCTGCTCGTCTGCCCCTCTAACATAAAAAAAAAAGTTTATCAAATTTTACGTCAGTTATCAGCATCATACGTCTACTGCTGGACGTAGACCTAATATTAAATCCGAGGAAGTATACTCAATTCACCAAGGATTCCATACTATTAAAAAGTCATCTGACAAGATGTTGTTAGTGGATTCCTGTTTCCTTTGCACTTGTTAGTCTGCAGTCTTCATTCCAAATCTGATTAATTTATTCTCAGCGACCATCTGTTCTTCATTCTAAGTGACTTACGTAGGAACTTTACAAAACATTATCTACTAAACAACTATCCATAGCCTCCAGAAAAGATCAAGAACCTTATCAAAGTAGTCAAATATATACTTACAAATCCATTTTCAATTTTAGCATCTTTAAACTTAGCCTCATAGTTTTCTTGAGATCGCATACTATTATTTGATGCAAAATGAACTGTTTTGCCATGTTTTTTCATCAAATCGAAGAATTCGCCAACCCGTGGTAAAGCTCTGAATCTCCATACGACTCCTTATAAACATAGAAGTAATTAGCATACGTCAGTCCAATCTGAAGGCGCTAAACAGTGATTTTATTTTCGTTTTTGCTAATATTTGAAGTTAACCAAAAAAGGACCATAGTGCAGAAAGGACCATAGTATTGCGTCGATCATGGTCTAGGATGGATAGTTGAAAAATGTTTCTATTCAGTTACAGAATACATTCAAGCAAAAAAACACATAACAAATTCCATATCTTATTACACGAATAACAGAATGAATATACCTAAACACAAATTATAAAAAAGAAAAATCGGTTTTGGTACACAATAATGCCAGGGACAGTAGAAGAATATGTGTATGTAATATAATATATGTATGTGTATAAAAATGTGGAATGCCTTTGTATTTTCCATGATTTGTTCAATTGTTATACTGTACTATTGAGTCACTAACTTATTGTTATTCTAAAATGCTTTTATGTGAATAATAATTTATTCTTCTGTATTCTCTCTCAATTTTGCAATGCCTGGAAAAGGCTACTAAGTTGAGACAAATTACTATTATAAGACCTCTACTTTTGGAATTTTCGATTTGATCTACTTTTCGAATGTGTTATGTGAACGTATCGACCTTAACGTTAGACCACGGAGGAATATGGCAATGTACCAAAATAGCTTACATCCCCAATTCAATGCAATCTGAAGTTTTTTTTTATGACGAGGGTGACTTACACACTTATAACACAAAAGCCCAGATTTACAAGTAAGAAGATTACTTGTGTGAAAATTGCTTTACTTTATTACAATCTATAAATCATAACAGTCACAATACTAATCAATTGAGTTAAAGCCGGACGATGCAGCCTGTGTCACGATGCGGCAATGAATGCAATATTTATTCTTTGGAAATGTGATTATTCGATATAATACTTTCTTGTTATAAGTTATTACGTCTATTAGTCTTATATCTATATATGTATTTAAAATACATGTATCTTAATTAAAATCCATTTCTCGAGAAACTTAGGTGAAATATTTTATTTTCCCGAGAAATTTATTAAATATTTTCATATTCTTTTAACATACAAAATATAACAAAGTAAAATTAGTGACAAGGATATTCTGTTTACTTACCGGTAGGGACATGTGTTAGGGACACATGTCCCTAACCTAACCTAACTGATGAATTAAAACGTCGTTGTGTGCCAGTCCCATTTGTCAAATGTAAGACAAAACAATCCTTGCATTGTGGGTATGAGATTCAAAACACCCTGTATTTTGGCACGAATTGGAACGAAGTTCCTTATGGGTGCGTTACACGCTCTGAGCGGATGGAAGCTACATCGAAGAATGTCTAACAAGACTTTTCTGACACTTTTTGCTATAGTACTCACGCACTTGCTTAGATATTTTAAACTAAGCAATGGATTTTAATGCAGTTTCAACAATAGAAAAAATGGTTCAAGAGGAAGGTTTAGATGATTATAGAAGAGAAAATCCCAGAAATTGAAAGATTTGTCGTAAAAAACATGTTTTTGCACGCTTACATTGCAAACGCTCGCTAAACCTTACGAGATAAACCAAAATAATAAACTACGAGACATCGGGTTCGACTACTCGTTTAATTTGTACGACTGCAAATATTTGTTTCGCAGTTTGTTTGTCTTCTGTATATAATATATACGGATTTACAAAATAAAAGTATATAAGTATTCATTCAGTCATTCTAGCTTTCATAGTTTGAAGTTTCAGTAATAACTGGTAATTTTTATAAAGAGTGATGGAGTATGTTTAAAAAATATATAATATAAATTGTAAGTATATTTTGTTTACATTTTGCGTGTCTTAAAATTTATATAGTGACACACAATAGCAACAATCTCTGTTATGTCAAATATTTAGCAAAATAAATTTAATAAAATTATACATATCTAAAATCTATTACATATATGCCCGTGCCGATCTACAACCGCCGCTTTCCAAAGGGCAAACAAACTCACGGCTAATCTTTAATAATTAACAGATTGATACAATGGCATCATTAAATATACCACAACATTGTTTTGATGTGGACTAGGACGTCAGTTATTAAAGACTAAAAGGCAACGAAGAGAAAAAAAAAGAAATAGAAATGAAAGTGACGAAAACATAAGAAATGGAAAAAATAAATAAAAATAAATAATATATATATTTAAAATATATTTCCACTTAAGAAATATCCTGTGCTAAATTAATCCCCAGCATTCTAGTCTTCTATTTTATCCTATGGACGTGAGGTAATTGTGTATGTCTAAATTAAATTTACGTGTCAATAAACTGCGACGACATTCAAGTTTCCGCTGCGACAACGTTTGGCCATTTGCTAGATTTCATTTTTTCTAAAGAGCTGTAGATTATTTATACGTTGTTTTGAATTTGTTTATATACTGTTTGTAAAAACTGATCTAAAAGAAACATACCATTGAGAAGATAAAAATATAAAAGTCAAATAAGGTGATTAGGTCCTAGTACTTAATTCTTATGCACTAGGGTCGTTTAAACCGTTTATACCCTTGTACCTACAACGTCTTGCCAAGTATCATTGATGTACTCTTAGTAATTAATGAGCTATGGGATAATTTAACATGACCGATCCACTGTTTATTTGAAACAGTGGTCTTGTCTTATTGCACGAGATTCTATAGTGAATGCGTGATGAAACCTAGTCTAATAATTAGTGCATTAATTCAACTATTCACGTGTAAATTTTCATTTCTTTACACTCAATAATTAACGAAATACCATTAAAATGCTGACAACCACTGCAATTTGCACATAAACGGACCGAGTTCGGATGGCTACAAAAAAGCGGCCGTGCAGTATATTTGGATGGCATTCCTAAATTCAAATAGTAATAGCTGAGTCTATTCGATAAATCTTCGAAAGGAACTTCGTTCCGACCGGGGGTCCATTGACCCCTAACGCCGTTTTTTTATTACGATTTTTTTTTCCCGCAGCTTGAACAATAAACTTTTTTTAAATATTTTTTTAGTTCTACATTGTTTGCATGTTTTGTTACATTGCTACATTGTTTGCATTGCTCTACATTGTTTGCATGTATACATATGTCTTATATTAACTTACATTTTTACATTAACATAACTAAAACTTAATTATCTTAACATTCGTATATAATATGTATTTTCGGTTAAATTAATCAGTCTATGCTATTTTTTATTATTTTCAAGTCCAGCAATTATCAACGTACCTATTTGGAACGAATTTCTTTTCTACGAGTAGTTACAAGTTAAGAAGTGGAAATTAGGTAAAAAGTGGTATTGTTAGTAACCTATATAACCATCATCATCATCATCAACAGCCTATACTAGTCCACTGCTGGACATAGGCCTCTCCTTAGAAAGGAGGTTTTGGCCTACTATATAACCAGATGTGAATAAATTAACAAAAATATAATTTACTAAGACACAAACTTTTTTTTTGTCTTAAATGAATTATTGCTACTTGTTCATACATAAGATATTTTAGTCACAAAAAGTTCGGGCTTACAATGATTGCTCCGATTTTAAAATAGCGTATTTACAATTATTGTACTATGTTCAAGAGGAAAAGAAAGAAGTAAATTGAGCTGTTACTAACTGATAGCATAAAAAATGTAAAAGAAACGTAACACTCACAGACAAAAGTAAAACAAACTCGCATCACAATTAAAAATAGTAATATTATAGTCTTTTGAGTAGGGTGTTGTGTATCTTTAAATAAAAGTATTCTTATTAAAATTAATTATATAACTTACCATCACAATCCGAAAAAACATGATCGAAAGAATTTAAAAAGTTCTGGAATTCTTCAGGGCTAATATTTGTGACGTCTACGGGTGTGGATTCCATATTGATCTCAAATGAACCTTTATCACTGGTATATTAACTATTACACGCGGGCGCATATAGCCCCGTCGCGTTTACTACTGACTAATGACGTGTGCTTCACGTGCGGTTGCTCATTGGGGAATTATATATACCTAGTACTTATTATGTGTTGTACACAGACAGATGTACTTTTCTTGTAAGTAATCGTAAACAAAAAAATATACAACAAAAAAAAAAATTCATACTGTCTCAAAGTATAGAAGAAAGGATTAATATTTAATTTTAGATTTACATTTTAGTCCAAAGAATATTCTTTTCTAAAATATCAATCTCTGTTTTTTAAATTATGCTTTTTCCTTTCACTATAAATTATGAATTACTGATGATTGTTATCAATCGATCAAAAACATCACTGATCAATCATCAGTTATCAAAGAAATCGAGTTTAACACGCATAGAATCGTATTTTTATATAACTAATTTACTAACTCTACTACGCCCATTTCACACAATATAGTAGCTTTTGATGGACTCTTTTAAATAATTACTCAACATTTTTTAATTCGAATGTGTTATTTAGACAAATATTATTTAAGAAAAACGGCGGGAGGGGTCAATTTACACCTGATCAGAACAAAGTTTCTTTCGCTTTTTGGTAGACGTTTGCTATACAGTCATTATGGTTAATTTTAGTATTTTTTTATGGAAGAGGGTGTTCAAACGAGCAATAAAAATAAGTATCGGAAGAAGTCTTGTTACACATTTTTCGTCGTCGCGTCGCTCCCATCCGCTCTGTGCGTTTAAGGCGCGAGGAAGAACTTCGTTCCGAAAAAAAAAAACAGTACGGTACGCACTTGTAAGGATTGTGTCAACGAATGAACTGGCTGGCAACGGCATTAGGCAGATAAGATGTATGAGATAATAGAATCGAATTGCCGGCAACAAAAAATCCGTTTTGTAAGATATAAATATTATCAATCATTTTTAATGTCTGGTGTAACTAGACAAATCTAATTTCAAACGATCCGAACGACCTTTCAAGCTACCTTCAATCTAATTTAAACGCTTAGTGTCAGGATATAGTGTTTTTATTAATAATTTTGTTTTACAAGCTTGTTTTGGCAAGCAAGTCATACAAGCCTTACGGCTTGCATAGGCTATTAGTTCTCATATTATTATTTATTAATAAAATTCATATATGTATCCATGACAAATTTAATATGAATTTATCATTGATGACATTATATTTTCAACAAAAATACAAGTATATCTGAATATGTCTCCTTAAATATAATTCATTTATTCCTTCCAAATCTGTTTAAAGTGACCAATGTCATAAAGCACAAAAATACAACATGGTGGACAGATTTAGAATACAATAGAATAGAATATTCTTTATTGTACACCAATTACATTATGTTAGATAGATTTTACAGTCAGATATGTACAATGAGCGGCCTTGTCACTAAAAACAATCTCTTACAGGCAACCTTTGGATGGACAAAGCGATAGTAGATGAGAAGAAACAATGAGTAGTCTAGGTATATTGAAAATACATTAGTGTTAAAATGAATATATAAACTATACATACCCACACATGCATAAATATAATATACAATATATATTGAAAACCATGAAATCATTTAGTCATGCACAGTTATTGAAAGCCAATAGTAGGCACTTAAAAATCTAAGTAGTGATCTTTGACCATATTCTTAAATCCTGTCAGTGTTTCGGCACGTCTTATAGATATCGGTAAGGCGTCCCATAATCTGACAGCCTGCACTGTGAATGACTTGTCATTGTATATGGTAGTGTGGCTAGGTACCATTAGCTCCAAAGATTCCAACGACCTCAAGGATCTTAGATGTGTGTCACTGAGAAACACAAAACGTTCATTTAAGTAAGGTGGGGTATATGGATTGAATACTATAAAGTATAGAAAGAATAAGTGTATTCCGTTGAATTAGAGTTGATCAATTTACGAAATTTAGTCACATGATCATATTTGCTTAAACCAAATATGAATCTAATGCAGAAATTTTGAAGGCGCTCAAGTTTATCAAGTTGCTCCTCAGTGATATTGAGATAGCTGCCATCAGCGTAATCGAGTATAGGAAAGAGCAAGGATTCAGCTACGCCCTAATTTTAGTGACCGTTGGTAAAAAGTTGCGAAGTCTTCGCAATGAGTTCTCCGATGCAAACATTTTTTTACTAACTTCGCTTAATTGGGGTCCCCAAGATAAAGTACTATCAATCAAAATGCCTAGGATCTTAACACAACTACTAACCGAGAGTACAACGTCATTACATTTGATGTCAGGTAATTCAGGCCAGTTGATTTTAGAGTGCATCCTGGGACTGCCCTCAACAATGACTTTGGTTTTTGATGGATTAACAACTAGTCAATACTAGCTGCTCCATTTATACATCAGAAATTATTTTAATAATACCCGACTTAATTACAATAGAAATTGAAGAAAACATATTTAAACATACTTATGTAATTTTCCCTATGGAAAGTTCTAAAGTATTTCTCATTGAGACTTACCAGGAAGCTAAAACTTATTACACTCACATTACAGACAAACATCATAAGACTAAAATACACCCAAATACCAAACTGCCAGCCACGCATTCCCAATTTCAAGTTTTTACGGACGCGCTGTAATTTCGTCTCAAGCGTGTGCTAATGAATTTCTGAAGCCGTGCCTAATCAAAGTTTTCTCGTTTACGATGATGTATACCGTTATCTTGTACAGCTGAAGCCGAAACCCTGGAGAGGCTACACGGCAAGCGGAAAGCGAGGCGTTTCCGAGATCCTTATGAGATATTCTCGATTCCTGAACTTAATGGGTAAAAGCTATGTTAACTATTTGGTTTGTCCGCCCACACACTATTTACGCTATACTGGCCTAATTATTGTTAAGATTATTTATAATCTTTATGCAATATAATACTCGTAAATAAGCAACGTAGAATTTAACCAACTATTCTAACTAAATTAAAGTAACGTCTATAAAGTAAATACTTAAAATGGAATTTCAACATGGTTATCACTTATACATTGGCCCGTTTATTTTTCAACATTAAATCAGTCGATGAGTTATTATAGGATCGTTTTGTTCACCGCTTTTCTTCAGTTTCAATGTCTTAAGCCTTATATTTTGACAAATTTCCTCTTTCGTGAATGTTTTAAGTTTGAGTTATAGATGGAAAAAAGAATTGTTCTTTCTTTTTGCTTAAAGTTTTGAGGTGAGGCTGTCTGTAACCGTAATCGGGTTTGTGAAAAATGGATAAAGGATTTGTTAAGGATTTAATCTTTTAGTACACATATAACACTACAAGTGCAATTTTCTTAATTTAAAATAAATTGTACTAGTCTTGTTGTTTTCTGAAGGTACTATGAAATAATTTTACTTAGATAGATCAAGCGATCAGTATTCAAGAAAAACCATACAAATTGTAACCGTTAAATTCGTGCTTGTTCCTGGAATTCATGCTAAGAATTTATTCAAGGTCGCGGGAAGCCGTTGGATGCAGGCAGTGCGGGACCTGTTTTTGTGACCTAGGCCTATGTCCTGCAGTGGATGTTTTTCGACTGCGAAGAAAAACATGATGGCAAGAAAGTTCTTCTGCTCACAGATCTATGTTAGCTGAAAAACATTTAGAAATAATAATACTAACGTTAAAACTTATCAGCCTGTGACCACGGTCAGTGCAATTTGGTCGGAACATCAGGCAATTCAAAGGCGTGTACTGACTACCTATCGTGACCGCGTTAATTAACGTAAATATTATTATATACTGGGCATTTGTTTAAAAATGTCAACTTTAACATCACTGTAACTAAAAGCAATAATACCTATTTTCCTTTATAAACAAAGAAAAAAAAAACTATTTGGAAAAGAAAATGAATACCTGATAAGTGGTCTGTATGTCTGAATAAAAAACCCATCAATAGGATGTTAATTCAAAATATTAAAATTTTCTGCAAAATTTTAAAATGCCTTGAGTAAAATGTATGTAAACTTAATAAGTGTTTATAAACCGGGATATTTATTATGTTGGAATTAGTTTCCGATAGTTCCGACTGTTGCAAGAGAAGAGTCATGATCACGAATGAACTTAAATCGATACAATTTATTCAAATCTAGTATTAAACTCATCAATAAAATAAAAATAAGTATAACTGTGTATTGTATTTACTTACGCTAAAACAAATCGAAAACTTTTACAAGTCCCTCCGAATCTATCTAATGCTTTTTAATTCATCTCTTTTTACACTCCTCAAGGAATACATGGGTATAGTTTTATACACGTAGTTTCTTGCCGCATACATACGAGTATATCTATTTTTTCTTAGTTTTTCGTCTCCATACATCTTATATCAATTAAGGTACACAGTTCATTTAAGTTTCTGAGAACACTCGCAAGAACGAACTCTTTAATTTAAGCTTCGCCCACACAAGTTGATTGAGTTGGAGTGAACCTATTTGTGACGCATTCCTGCGAAGTTTTTTACGAAGCTCTATTCTAGGACCTTGAGCTTTGAACGTTCTACTCACGTGCGAACATTGACTCTTACCTACCTAATTACGGGCTAGAGCAAAAAGTATAATTATTTTTGTAATAGCTATCAAGAGAACTTGTACTGGTATATTTTTTTTGGTTAGTTAACCCGGCGGCAAACGTCTGCGTATATAATTCCTATATTTTTCAGTATTTATCGTCCTATAGTTATGTCTGTATTATAATATATATATATATTAAAAGATAACACCCGCACTAGGAATAAATCCTGTGTCGCGGGGGACTTTACAAACATACACAAAACGGACACAAAGAGCACCCAGACCCAGAAAAACAATTTGTGGATCCCACAAAGTGCCGTCCCATGTGGGGATAAGACCCTAAACACTCAGCGTATTAGTAAGCGGCGTGGCGACCGCTTAAACCACTACGCATCCCGTGCAATATACATTTTTTTTGTGTTTTTTTTTATGTTACAGGGGGCAGAT